TCAGGATCTGTCCTTCCAGTGAGCACTCAGGGCTGATTTCCTTCAGAATGGAGAGGTTTGATCTTCTCGCAGTCCATGGGACTCTCAAGAGTCTCCTCCAGCACCAGAATTCAAATAATAATAATAATAATAATAATAATTTATTATTTATACCCCGCCCATCTGGCTGGGCTTCCCCGGCCACTCTGGGCGGCTTCCAAAAGAATATTAAAATACTATAATACATCAAACATTAAAAGCTTCCTGAAACAGGGCTGCCTTCAGATGTCTTCTAAAAGCCTGGTAGTTGTTGTTCTCTTTGACATCTGGTGGGAGGGTGTTCCACAGGGAAGGCGCCACTACCGAGAAGGCCCTCTGCCTGGTTCCCTGTAACTTGGCTTCTCGCAGTGAGGGAACCGCCAGAAGGCCCTCAGTGCTGGACCTCAGTGTCCGGGTAGAACGAGGGGGGGGGAGACGCTCCTTCAGATATACTGGACCAAGGCCGTTTAGGGCTTTAAAGGTCAGCACCAACACTTTGAATTGTGCTCAGAAACGTACTGGGAGCCAATGTAGGTCTTTCAAGACCGGTGTTATGTGGTCTCTGCGGCCGCTCCCAGTCACCAGTCTAGCTGCCGCGTTCTGGATTAGTTGTAGTTTCCGGGTCACCTTCAAAGGTAGCCCCACGTAGAGCGCATTGCAGTAATCCAAGCGGGAGATAACCAGAGCATGCACCACTCTGGCGAGGCAGTCCGCAGGCAGATAGGGTCTCAGCCTGCGTACCAGATGGAGCTGGTAAACAGCTGCCCTGGACACAGATTTGACCTGTGCCTCCATGGACAGCTGTGAGTCCAAAATGACTCCCAGGCTGCGCACCTGGTCCTTCAGGGGCACAGTTACCCCATTCAGGACCAGGGAATCCTCCACACCTGCCCGCCTCCTGTCCCCCAAAAACAGTACTTCTGTCTTGTCAGGATTCAACCTCAATCTGTTAGCCGCCATCCAACCTCCAACCGCCTCCAGGCACTCACACAGGGCCTTCACTGCCTTCACTGGTTCTGATTTGAAAGAGAGGTAGAGCTGGGTATCATCTGCATACTGATGAACACCCAGCCCAAATCCCTGATGATCTCTCCCAGCGGCTTCATGTAGATGTTGAAAAGCATGGGGGAGAGGACAGAACCCTGAGGCACCCCACAAGTGAGGGCCCAGGGGTCTGAACACTCACCCCCACCACCACTTTCTGAACACGGCCCAGGAGGAAGGAGCGGAACCACTGTATAACAGTGCCCCCAGCTCCCAGCCCCTCAAGACGGTCCAGAAGGATGTTATGGTCGATGGTATCAAACGCCGCTGAGAGATCCAGCAGAACTAGGAAACAGCTCTCACCTTTGTCCCTAGCCCGCCGGAGATCATCAGCCAGTGCGACCAAGGCAGTTTCAGTCCCATGATGAGGCCTGAATCCCGACTGGAAGGGATCCAAATGGTCCGCTTCTTCCAGGCGTGCCTGGAGTTGTTCAGCAACCACTCGCTCAATCACCTTGCCCAAGAATGGAAGATTTGAGACTGGGCGATAGTTGGCTATCGTGGCCGCATCTAAAGATGGTTTTTAAGAAGCGGTTTAATAACCGCCTCTTTCAGCGGGTCTGGGAAGGCTCCCTCACGGAGGGAAGCATTCACCACCCCACGAAGCCCATCGCCCAGTCCTTCCCGGCTAGCTTTTATAAGCCAGGATGGGCAAGGATCAAGGAGGCAAGTGGTTGGTTTCACTCAAAAGCATCCATTCTTCGGCGATCAGCCTTCTTGATGGTCCAGCTCTCACTTCCATACATCACTACTGGGAAAACCAGAGCTTTAACTATACGGACCTTTGTCGGCATCAAGGAAGCCTAAAGGTAAAGGTAAATTAGGTCCATTAGGACCATTAGGTCCAGTCGTGGCTGACTCTGGGGTTGCGGCGCTCATCTCGCTTCTGGGTCATGTGGCCAGCATGAATAAGCCGCTTCTGGCGAACCAGAGCGTAAACGCCGTTTACCTTCCTGCTGGAGTGGTACCTATTTATCTACTTGCACTTTGATGTGCTTTCGAACTGCTAGGTTGGCAGGAGCAGGGACCCCGTCGCGGGGATTCGAACTGCCGACTTTCTGATTGGCAAGTCCTAGGCTCTGTGGTTTAACCCACAGCGCCACCCGTGTGCCTTACACCACCCTTATATACCCTAGGAAGCCTAGGGTAGCTTTAAAAGAGGGTTGAGCAAATTCATGGCGGAGGGGCTGTCAAAGCTTACTAGCCGTGACGGCTGTGTTCTGCCTCCACAGTCAACGCCCGAATTCCAATTGCTGGAAACCACAAGAGGGGAGAGGGCTGCTCCTGTGTTCGAATCCTGCTTGCAGGTTTTCCATAATGGGCACGCGACTGGCCACTGTGAGAACAGGATGCTGGACTATTTATTAGAGTTTAAGAATTACCAAAAAAAAGAACAGCAAGCAGTGAACAGTTACAAAACCTCAAAAACAAAAGAAAATACAATAAAACAAAACAACCGTACATCAAAACATTAAAAAAGAAAAAACAGAAACATTAAAAAAACACAAACCTTAAAAAAAATAGAAGAAAAAAAAAAGAAAAAACAAAAAAACCCCCGTATTTTCATATCCTTATCTTTCATTTGCTTATTTCCTCGACTTCCTCACACCTTTTTTTGTATTCTAGTTCAATTAATTATTCCAGCAAATCCTTTCCCTCTTTCTCAAATTTAGTTCCATAATTTATCTTAATGCAATTTAACCTTAAGTTTTGCACCTTTACCCATTGTCAATCTATTCATACTTAATTCTTTATAACATTTCTGCTAAAGTCATATAGCTTCTTTCCAGCATCCTTCTAACATTCATTAATTTTACAATATTTCTATAAATAGTCTTTAAACTTTTTCCAATCTTCTTCCACCGACTCTTCTCCCTGGTCTCGGATTCTGCCAGTCATTTCCGCCTATTCCATATAGTCCATCAACTTCATCTGCCATTCTTCCCGGGTGGGTAAATCTTGTGTCTTCCAATACTTCGCGATGAGTATTCTTGCTGCTGTTGTTGCACAGCCTGCTCCCTTATATCCCTGCCTGATCGCTGAGGTCTTTGGGGGAGTCAAAGACCTCTGCTAAGCATCTCCCAAGATAATAACGCCCACTCACATCATAAAGCTCTCGTAACCCACCTACTCTCAGCAGCCAGAAACATCATGGCCAGACACTGGAGAGACCAGTCAGGAGTAAGCTGGACCAATGGTACCAAATAGTACGGGAAACAGCCTTATTAGAAAAAGCTAACCAATAAACCATAGCTGTCAACTTTTTCCTTTTTTAAAGGGAAATTCCCTTATTCTGAATAGGATCCGTTGCAAGAAAAGTGAAAAGTTGACAGCTATGAATAAACTGAAACTGACACGGGGGCAAATAGAAGAAGACGCCTTCACCCCGGTATGGTTCCCCTTTATCACATACACAGCCCAACAAGACAACAACAAGAATCCACCGACAACATACAAATCAATCTAGCTAACCCAATTCAAATACACACACACACACACACACACACACACACACCCCCTTCTCACACAAAAACAAATCTCACTACAGCCAAGCAGAGACAACCAACCACACCCTAAGCCACCCCCAACCTCTCTCACCACCAAGGAAATACAACAAGCGAATAGCAAGAGAACCCACACAAGTAGTGCTGACACAAAACCCCACACATACACTAAGTAGATGAATAGAAGCATAACTACCTGACCCCACCCTACTCACCATTCCCCCTCCCCCCTCTTTTCTTCCTAACCAATGGGTAGGCAAACTAAGGCCCGGGGGCCGGATCTGGCCAATCGCCTTCTAAATCCAGCCTACAGACGGTTCGGGAATCAGCGTGTTTCTACATGAGTAGAATGTGTCCTTTTATTCAAAATGCATCTCTGGGTTATTTGTGGGGCCTGCCTGGTGTTTTAACATGAGTAGAATGTGTGCTTTTATTTAAAACGCATCTCTGTGTTATTTGTGGGGCATAGGAATTCCTTCATTCCCCCCCCCCCCTACAAAATATAGTCCGGCCCCCCACAAGGTCTGAGGGACAGTGGATTGGCCCCCGGCTGAACATTTTTGCGGACCCCTGCCTAACACTGTATCTAACACCAATGTCTCGCAAGAAATGAAACTGATTTGTAGAAACGCAACTTGAAAAAAGAGACAACGCGTGTATTTTTGTAAACTAAGAAATCTTTAATAAAAATATATTAACAAGGGAAAAAAGGCTGTTGCGCTGACGTGACGGGTCTCATGGCTTTCCCAACATTTCCTGATCTTCTGCAGGTCTGAAAATTGCCCGACTGGTGACCCTCGTCCATGGGGACTTGCACCATCTTGGACAACTAGAAGCCTTGCATGCCTTGGCTCGCGTTATGGTGGCTCTGGAGCCGGCACCATGTTACGTGTGCCAGGGGGACGAGGCTCCCCGAGTCGCTGTCACCTTGCACAGGAAGAAAGGTGGCAAAGTGCTGCGGAAGGTGAGGCTGGCCGGGTGTCAGACGGGGAGGCGGAATGTGCCTGGGGAGTGGGCGGCGTAGCAGGCGTGTCGGGGAACTGCCATCGGCGGAGAGGCGGAGATAGAGGGGAAATGTGTTACAGGGAGCCTCCGAAAATCTTGCGAAGCAGTTCCTCCCCCGGCGAGGAGGAAAGCCCCTCCCCCAGTGAAGAAGAGGTGCAGGGACCAGGGGATGCTAGGGAGAGCCTCAACACACTTTTATGCTGGGGGAGGTACAAAAACCGGCCACTCCCAGATTCTGCTAGCGATTGAGCCAGACATGAACTTATGACGCTCTGCACTGTAAATAGTTTGCACCAAGAATAGGTAAAGGTAAAGGGACCCCTGACCATTAGGTCCAGTCGTGACCGACTCTGGGGTTGCGGCGCTCATCTCGCTTTACTGGCCGAGGGAGCCGGCGTACAGCTTCTGGGTCATGTGGCCAGCAGGACTAAGCCGCTTCTGGCGAACCAGAGGAGCGCATGGAAACGCCGTTTACCTTCCCGCCGGAGCGGTGCCTATTGATCTACTTGCACTTTGACATGCTTTCGAACTGCTAGCTTGGCAGGAGCAGGGACCGAGCAACAGGAGCTCACCCCGTTACGGGGATTCGAACCGCCAACCTTCTGATCAGCCAGTCCTAGGCTCTGTGGTTTAACCCACAGCGCCACCTGCGTCCCTTGCACCAAGAATAAAGCCTGGAAAAGACAGGTCGGAGTCCTGCCTGTTTACTCTCGAGCAACCACACCCGCACCTGATAAGGCGTAAATCCTGCCTCCTGAGAATACACAGTTTCCTTGCACCAGAGTTAACTTCCCTTACTAGGTGTGATTTAGTGCTGACCTGCTCCTGACACCCCTCGCCCCTCTTTGCTCCCTCCCAGAAAGAACGCTTTACGCTGCTTCCGGGTTTTCTCCTGAAGCACCTTGGCGAGGTGCCACGGGACGGCGTTTCCGAAGGGGGCCGTCCAGAGGATGGCAAAGCTTCGCCTACGGTAGGTGACCTTACTTGCTTATTTACCGTATTTTTCGCTCCATAAGACGCACCCAACCATAAGACGCACCTAGTTTTTAGAGGAGGAAAACAGGGAAAAAATATTCTGAATCAAATGTTGTCTAAACTACTGTATTTAATAAACAACCGGTATATCAGAATCATATTACAGCCATCAGCAGTCAACAGTGGCATTAAGAACCATCATCACTTTCATTAACGAATGAAGAGAGACTTTAAGATTTGAGTACTCTTCTAGTCTTCTGTGAACCCCAAGAACTCAACACTGCTAGAGTCCAGAA